AAAGAAAGAAAGAAAGAAAGAAAGAAAGAAAGAAAGAAAGAAAGAAAACCTTCTGGACTGATGGGTAGATGCCAAGATGGGCTGTGGGCTGGTTGTATTGTGCAATGCTCAGTGCTAAGTGATAGAGATGGAAGGGGAAGTCATGTCAGGCTTGAGGTGAGGGCCCTGGGAGTTGGGCTGTGGAGAGTTCCCTAAGGGCCCAAACAGGCAAATTTCCCCAGGCTAGGGCTGGCCCTTGAGTCAAGAAAACCTGAGTTCAAATCTAGCCTCAGACACTAGCTGTGTGACTCTGGGCAAGTCACTTGACTTTGTTTGCCTCATCTGTAAAATGAGCTGGAGAAGGAAATGGCAAACCACTCCAGGATCTTTGCCAAGAAAACCCCAAACAGGGTCATGCAGAGTCAGACACCACTGAACAACAGAAGGGAGGGGGAACCAGAAGCTGCTCCCGGACGCTGGGGCTCAGAAAGGGCAGTACGGTCCCAAATACCCACCACGGTAATTCCCCTCACGCGTGCACCGCGCTTTACAGTGTACACAGAGACTGAACAAGTTTGCCTTTGGCCCTCACAGCTCTCTGGGGGCTGGGGGGGGCAGTGGCTATCCCTGCATGGTACGGATGAGGAAACTAACAAGCAGAAAGGTTAGGAAACTTCCAGCACTCCCAGCTGCTGTTAATAGACCCATAAATGACTGTTTTAGGCTGGATTCCATCCAGCCCCTAATTTGACAGAGGAGGACACTGAGGCTCAGAGAGGCGTGTGACTTGCCCAGGGTCACATATTTAGTGTCCGAGGCAGGATTTGAACTCAGGTTCCAAGTCCAGCTTTTCGTCCACTACAGGTCACTGGTTCCGGATTCAAAGGAGAACGTCCTTGATCGGCCTCTTACCCTTTGGAAGCTCGTTCAGAGAAGGGGCTTCCTTCAGCTGGAGAGGGAGGGAGAGTAGGATGGCCCTCAGGAGGGGGTGGCCTCTGGTGGTATTGGGCCTGGAGCCTCTCCCTAATCACTGTGAGGCTGAAACTTGGCTCTGTGTCCAACTTAAATTGCTAAGCGAGCCTGAGGATAACCTCCTATCTGAATGCCTGTCCCTTCTCTGAAATAAGGGAAGAAAATGATGAATAATTATGGCTTCTGTTTTTCTAAACACTTTCCTTACGACTACCTTGTGGGGCAGCCAGTGCAAAGAGTGTTTCCCCCATTTTACAGATGTGAAAACCGAGGCCCAGAGAATACTGGGAAAGACAAAGTAACCCAGTGGTCTCAAATCCCATTTCTGCCACTTACTATCTGTGTGTCCTCGGGCACAGGACTTTACTGTTACAGAATTCAGTTCCTTCATCCCAAAAATGAGGGGGTTGACTTGCCAATCGACTGCTCTACTAACAAGCATTTGTTAAGCAGTTCCTGTGTGCCAGGTATTGTGCTAAGCACTTTTTAGAAGTATTCTCTCATTTGATTCTCATAATAACCCTGGGAAGGAGGTGCTATTATTATCCTCATTTTACAGCTGAGGGAACTGAGGCAGACAGAGGTTAAGTGACTGGCCCAGGGTCACACAGCAGGGAAATGTCTGAGGCAGGATTTGAACTCAAGTCCAGGCCCATTGCTCTATCTATACATGGGATGGGCCATAAGGATTAATGGGTTCTACCCCAGGAATGATATAAAATAGCTTCTGACTGGAAGGCCCTGGGGAGCAGGAGCCACTCCAGGGCTAATCTGTGTCTTGAGCGACCTAGAGGACAGGGAAAGGCTCTCTGACCCAATTTCCATTTAAACACATCCTTCACTCACTCCCCTCCCCTCCATCTAGTTTAATTTCCATCCCCATATAATTCACTCCTGCCCTAGCACAGCAGATCAGGGAATGAAGGGAGAGTAGGAGCTGGAGGTGAGGTTCCCTGAGGCCTGGGGTCACCACCTGGTCTGTCCCTCTGCTGGCCTCCCCTTCCAAAAGCACTTTTTAAAGTTCAATTTTCTTCAACAATCAGGCTTTTCCCCCTCCTTCTCACTTTCTCCACCCCCGGAAAAAAGGAAAGACCAAAAGAAAAAGAAGGGGGAACGCCTTAGAACAAACATGCAGAGGCTAGCCAAACCCATTCTCTCCTTGGCCATGTCCAAAAGTGCTCATCACATCCAGCTCCCAGAGTCCATTCCCTCTGTCTGGAGGCCGGCACCAGCCTTCTCCCTCAGCCATCAATCCTCTGGACACAGGGCTGGCCATTGCATTGTTCTGAGCTAGTGGCGGGCAACATTCAGCCTCCCTGAGCCGCACTCAAGGACCTAGAGGGCCACATGTGGCTTCAAGGCCACAGGTTCCCCACCTGGATCTTACGTCTTTCCAATGTGTTTATTATTGTTGCTGTCGTATAAATTGTCTTCGTGATTCCTCATAGGTATTATTATCATTCCCATTTGGCCAATGAGAAAATTAAGGCTAAGAGACACCTGCCCAGAGTCACACAATGAGTGTTACAGCAGGGGTAATAATAATAATAATAACTAATATTTACAGAGAGCCTACTATGTGCTAAGTGCTTCACAAATATTATCTCATTTGATTCTTACCACAACCCTGGGTGGTAGGTGCTATTATGATCCTCATTTTACAGACAAGGAAACTGAGGCAAGCAGAAGTTAAGTGACTGGCCCAGGGTCACGCAACTATTACGTGTCAGAGGAAGGGTTATGATAATATTAAGAACTAACATTTACACAGTACAGTACTCTGTGCTAAGCACTGTGCTAAGTGTTTTACAATGATTATCTCCTTAGATCCTCACTACAACCCTGGGAGATAGGTGCTATTATTATCATTCCCATTTTATAGTGGAAGAAACTGAGGCAAGCAGAGGTTAAGTGACTGGCCCAGGGTCACACAGATAGGCGTCAGAGGAGGGATTCTCCTGGTGATCTTGGAGTGCAGCGAGGCCTTCAAATCCTATTCCCGCCATTCCCCAGCTTTGTGACCTTTCCTACGGTCCATCATCACTCCGAGCCTCGGTTTCTTCGTCTGTAAAATGGGGATAAAAATGACCCGCGCACTCTGTAGGCTCCAGCCGCGAACGACGTGAATGTCAGTGATACTGACTAAGGCCCGGGTCAGTTTCAGGGCCGGGGGAGGGCGGGGGGACTGGGGAGTGCTCTAGGAGGAAGCCAAGAAGAGGCCTCAGAGGAGGAGGAAGGAGGGAGAGGAAAGGAGGATAAGAAGAGGAAAACAGGGCGGAGAGAAAAGGAGGGAAAGATAAGCGCAAAGGAGGGAAGAAAAGAGAGAAAGAAAAAGAGAAGGGCTGGAGAAGAAGAGGAAGAACGGCGGCAGAGAAGCCAGGGAGGGGAGCGCGGTCCCTTTAAGGCGCTGCGGGTGAGCTCAGTTCAGCCGGCCCCGCCCCTCGGAAGCTCCTCCTCTCCCTCCGTCCCCCCTCCCATCCCCCGGCGGCAGTGGCGGCGGCGGTGGCGGCCTAGTGCGCCTGCGCGCCTCCTCAGCGGCTCCCGGCGCCGTTCTAGTCATCTCGGCCCCGGCGGCTGTACAGGCACCAGAGGGACTCGGGCTCCAGCCGCCGCCGCCTGTACGGCCCGCCATGGGCTCCTGAGGTAACTGCCGCCCCGCACCCGGCGGACTGAGAGCGAGGGAGGGCGGGCCCTTGGGGCCGGAGGGGAAGACCCCGGGCCAGAGGGCTGGGGGGCCGAGGGGGCGGGGCCGGGAGGAAGAGGAGGAGATGTGCCCCCCGCCCTCCTGGCCGCTCTCGCTCCGTTCTAATCCCCCCGCCCTCTCCCGCCCGCTCCGTTCTAATCCCCCCGCCCTCTCCCGCCCGCTCCGTTCTAATCCCCCCGCCCTCTCCCGCCCGCTCCGTTCTAAACCCCCCGCCCCTCCCCGTTCTGTGCCCGGGAGCCCCTGGCTTCTCCGGGGCCGTGGGTGCACTGATCCTCTCCCCCCTACACCAAGGGCGCGACGTGGCGTGGCGTGATGGTCCATCCCCTTGTGCCATTGGACCTCCCCGTGGAGGTGTCCTAAGGGCTGAGTGATGGGGAGGGGGGGGCGGGGTAATTGTGAGGGTGGGGGGTGGGGGAGGGAGGAATCCTTGCAAAGAGGGGTGGGTGGGTATGCATGAGCCCGGGCTTGGCCCCCAGGGGGGAGGTACCCGAGGTTCGAGGTGGAAGAGGTCTTCAGACCCGATTCACCAGCCCCATCGTGCAGATAGGGAAACTGAGGTCTAGAGAAGGTGACTTGTGATTTACGCCAGCTAGGAGGTTCGGGCTTGTACTTAAGAGGGTTGGAGGTCGGGACCTTTGAGGCCATCTAGCCCACCCGCCCACCCACTTGTTTTGCGGATGGGAGAACTGAGGAGGTTTAGTGAGTGACTTGCTGAAGGTCACACAGGTATCAGAAGTGGAATTTGAACCCAGATCTTACAACTCCCGCACCGTGATGCCCTCCTTGGACCTCCTAACCCTAAATCCAGGGCTGTTTTCACTATCCTGGAGTGCAGTGGGACAGTCTGGGCATTCAGTCTGTATGCAGGGGTGTTAGTGGCTTCCTGAACATACTGCCTCATTTGGTTATCACAACTACCCGGCAAAATCAGTCCTGTAGTTGTTATATAATCCTGCTTGACAGATGAGGAAACTGAGGTTCAGAGGTTAAGTGATTGCTGAGTCTATAGTCACACAGCTGGTGAGGGTTCGAGTGGGAATTTCAGCTCAGGTCTCTTCCCACCCAATCCCATTATTCTCCAGCGAAGCCCCAGAAATAGCCATGGGGCACATACTTTGGTTTCTAAATCCTTTATTAAATGTCTACTGTATACCCTATAATTGCTGTGCTAGGTCTGGCCTCTGATTGTAGGTAAAAGGTGTCGACACCCCTCCCCAACCCCAGTGGTCCCTTATGACCCAGAGCCCTTCTGGGTACGAATGGGGAGGGGAGGAAAGACCCTTTAGACCTCGATCAACTCTTGGGGCCTGCCTTGGAGGCCCCAAGAGGAAAAACTCCTTCTCTTGCTTACCATAAGCCTCCTTGCTTGTGTGAAAGAGTAATTTTTGTGGTGGAATCCTTCGGGTGGTGGGTGGGGAGGTAGAGAATCATAATGACTCCCATTTATATAACTCCGGCTCTGGTCCTTGCTCCATGTGGGATCATGGGTGAGTTTCTTCATGGTGCTGGGCCTCAGTTTCCTCCTTTTAAGTATATAAAACTTGTATTTTAAAACCTGGGCTTAAAAATAGATTGTCTATTTTAAAACACATTGCGAACTTACATAAGCTGAACGGCTTTCCCCATGATCTTTTAATTCACATCCTTGGTATGAAAGATGATGTTAATATTCACTATTTCATTTTGTTTTGGGGTGGGGATATGTGAAATGCTAACAAGTTTGGTAGGCTTTGATGAATCTGTCTGTCTAGCTGGGCTCGGTCTGCTCGACTCCGCTCAGCTCACAGCAGTGTACCCCCCCATGCATGTCTTGGCTGCTTGTGAAGAGGCACAGGTGTAGACTGGAGCCTGCCTTCCTAGCTCTGGGCCTTGGGGAAAGATGGGTGTGGATGGGAGGGGCTCCCTGCCTGTTTGGATGCACACCTTCACTAGAAATGCCGACCTCAGGGTAGCCAGGGGAAGGGGATAGAGAACGCATCCCCTTCTGTGGGCTTAGGGACAGCTGAGGGAGGGCTGCGTGGGTGGTACCCGTGTGCCAGGTAAGATAATCCATGTGCTTTGGCAGTCAGAGAAAAGCGTGTGTGTATATGTGTGTGTGCGTGCCCCCAGGGGCCGGGATCTAGGGAGCCAGACAGCTAAGATCACTCTGCACCTGCCCAGTGGGGTGGCTTGGTCTCAGAGGGAAGGTCTCTGGCACCTGGTGTTTATAGCTTCTCTTCAAGCTGCCTGCCTTGTCCCCTTTCAGTCGCTGTCCTTCCTTTTCATTGAATTGGACGTTTTTAGAGCTCGAGGGTTGGCCAGCCCAACCCTTATTTTGCAGATGAAGACACTGAGACCTGGAGAGGTGGTGGTCCACCAATGGAAAGGTGGTGCCTGGGGCGGAAAAGCTAGCTAGGAAGAAAGGTGAGATCAGAAACTAGACTCCTGGCTCTCTGCCTGTACTCTTTTCACTTGACTTGACTGCTCCGGAAGGGGGCCACGTCGCAAATGAGTTCGTGATGCGGGGGAGTCCTAGCCGAGGCTACAGAGTGGGGTCTTGGTGGCTCCATGCCCCGTGGAGTATGTCGTTTGGGAGGGAGGTCAACGAGGGATGTGTGTGTAAGGACCGCCATAGGCCAAGAGTGTTTGGAAGGCCCGGCTCACGGGAAGGCCGGCCTCCCCTCCGAGGCCACCTCCTGAGCTTCCGTTTTCTCGGAACTAAGATGGGAATGATGATGGTGCTTGTGCTGCCTGCCTCTGTGGGATGGAAATTGGAGTTATTAGTAATGATAATTTGCCTCTTTCAGTCTCTTAGCAGTCTTGGGTGGACTGGAGGCTCTTTTTTTTCAAGGAGGCCTTTTTTATGGATCTGATGAACGGGAAAGACCCTGAAAGACTGAGGCTTACTGGGGGTGGTTTACTTCTAGCCTCGTACCTAAGAGGAGGTGCCCCTTACTGCCTAGAGAGGTTTCTCTCGTGTTGGGTTTTTGTTTGTTTGTTTGTTTGTTTGTTTTGAATCATCTAGATCCCTCCCTGTATGTCTCTCCCCTCTTAGAGACCTGTCTCTTACAACAACTCTTTTTGGGAGGGAGAGACAGCAACAGCTCACCAAAGACAGCCCGTTGGAGGAAATGTGCTGTGGTCTGCAGGATGTGCCCCCAGAGCCCCCACCTCAGGAAAGGAGCAGGAAAAGGGGGCTTCTCCTCCGTGGAGCGTGTTTGTGATCGGGAGGCTCATCCGGGCTCTTTGCCCTCCGTGCTGCGAAGTCCCTGGGGTAGAAATGGGCACCGCGAAGGGAGGGCCAGGCCGCTGACTGCTTTGAAACCTGAATAACGGCAGTGCCCTTATCCTTCCGTGAAGTCCCGTGGTTTGTGGTGTTGTAAGCTCCTGGAGGTGAAGGACTGTCTCTCGACCACCTCTGTGCAGCCTTGAAAGGGCCTCCCGTGTCTCTCCCGTGGGCCTCCCGTGTCTCTCCCGTGGGCCTCCCGTGTCCCTCCCATGTCCCTCCCGTGTCTCTCCTGTGTCCCACGTGCTCACCAGATGCTTAATTTGGCAAATGGGGATTTTTAGAAACCTTTTATCACTGCTTTTGCTTTATACGGGTGTTAGTTCCCCGTGATTCGGCACTTGGAAGAACCCTCTTTGGCAACAGATCCCTCCGTTGGCCAAGTTTCACATGGTAGGTCCCCTCGCCCTGCGGAGAGGAAGGAGGCAGCTCCCCTGAGCGGCCGAGCTGGCCGGAGTCCTGAGCTCTCTCAATCTGCTTTTCCTCCATGTTGCACTGGTCTCTGCATCCGTTCGTCCGGGTCTTTCCAACTTTCCCCAGATCCTTCAGGTTTTATGGTTTCTTATGGTACATCCCTCTGGGGTCATCAGCCAGCCAGGATTTATTAGGCATAGACTTTGTTCCAGTACTTGATAAGCCCTGGGAATACAAGGAACCCAGTGAAAGGACAAGTGTAAACCCTGGAGTTTACAGATTAAGGGTGAGATAAACAGGTCCTTTACCTCAGTTTTTTTGGCCATTCTCCAGTTAATGGGCACACAGCACACAATGGATAATAGAAGTAGTTTTATAGATGTGTCTCTGACCTCCTTCTCCTCCTCTTCCTCTACCTCTCCTTCTCCCTCCTCCTCCCCCCCTCCCCCCCCTTCCATCTTCACACCTAATAGTGGCATCCTTGGATCAGAGGGGACACACAGCTTTAGTAGTGTTCCGAGCGGTTTTCCAGAAATGTTGGGCCAGTTCACAGCCCGCCCTCTCATAGCCCCTCCAGCAACTGTCATCTTCAGTTTTTGTCATTTCTACTAATCTGATGGCTGTGAGATGACAGCCTGCTGGCATTTGGGTTTGCATTTCTCTTATTATTCATTTGGGGCACACTGGTATGTGGTTTCTGCCCTTTGAGTACTTACCTATAGGGGAATGGCTCTTGTCCTCATTTCCACCTCAGACATTTTCTGCCCCCACGTGTCAGCCTCTGCAGTTACTCCATCCTTCAGAGGACAGGCCACTCTTGGGAGGAGCTGGGCCATTTGACCCTTCATACCCATGCTGCCCACCACTGACAGCTGTCTTCCAGGTCAGTCATTGGACGGGGTGTGTGAAGGCACGCCCTGCTTCTGCTCCCAGACCCAAGCTCCTGTGCCCTGGCCACCATCCCCTTTATGGGCTGTGAGCTCTTTGAAGGCAGCGATCAGGGCTTTTGCCTTTCTTTGTATCCCTGGTGCTCGGCACGTCGTAAGCACTTAATAAAAGCTTTTTCTTTCATTCCTTCATGAATCCAGTAAGGCGCCTTCCCCTTCCTTCCTATGCCGCTTTTCTCAGATCACTCTTCAGTCAGTAAGAGGTGATTGAGGGGCCCCACGCCAGGCATGGAGGGCACGCTGGGTGGTGGGCAGACATTGGTCTTTTCAGAGGGTCGGGATCTTGCTGTTTGTGGCTTTGACTCCCTTCTCC